AAGCTCAGCGCAAGGGGAGTTGACAGTAAATCCATTAGGGTTTAGGGGTTAGGGTTTAGGGATTTAGGGTTTAGGGTTTAGGGATTAGGGTTTAGGGAATCTGGAGCAGGACAATAGGCAGCAGACTTCAGCACCAGGAGCCCCGAATTTTTGGAAACCACGCTAGCCCTGTTTCGAATACATCCGTATGCGGGGCCCCAAACTCAGACCCTGATTTTAGGTCATTTCTTTGAATAGGGGTCCCTCCCTGAACAGACACCATGATTTGAGAGACCTACACCCTGAACCCTAAACACCAAACCCCAAATCCGCAACCCTCACCCCTAAACCCCAAACCCTATACCCTAAGCCCTTTACCCTAAACCCTACACCCGAAGACCCCTCTCTATGTATCCTGCTCCTAGCAACCAGTCCAAGCTCTGCAGGCCAAGTGCTCCGTGGCGAGCGTGAACTCAGCCTTGCCACCGCCCACCTGAGCCACGAGCCAGTAAGATTGGGATTAGGGTTTAGGATGTGTAGGGTTTAGGGTATAGGGTTTAGGGTTCAGAGTTTGGGGTTAAGGTTTAGGGTATTTAGGGTTTAGGATGTGGGATTTATAGTTTAGGGTATGGGATTCAGGGTTTAGGGTATTGCATTAAGGGTTTAGGTTTCAGGGCTCGACGTAGAGTTTAGAGCTTCAGGTGGAGGATTGGGGTTCAAGCATGTTCTTTTTCGATGCCAGCTGATGGCATGGGGTTGAGCTTGTAGATTTGTGGTTTAGGAATGTTTGGGGTACTAAGCCTGATGAAGAACGAGTCATGTATCACTACGGGAGCTTGCAAGGATTGAAAGGAGCTACGCATACCAATCTGCAAGACTTCATGGCTTACCTGAGTCCGTAATACCTGACAACGAAAGAAGGATGACTTTAGCAGCACTGTCAGGCAACCCATCCCGCAAAGCAGTATCAGGGATCCCTTAGTGTGGACCCAGTTATAGGCGTGCCTTTCCTGAACTATCGTATACGAAAATTATATAGGTCATGCGGGTTTATAGTATCCAACAGCAGGTTAATGGCATCTGGAAAACAGCTATCAGCCTCTGTAGGGAGAGGCTTTGCACGATGACAAGTCATTTCTACACACGTTGCAGTACATGTCCGTGTTCTTCTTTGAATCCTGCCACGGGTTGTCAAGAACTGCTACTAGGAGTACTAGTAGCGATAGTGGAGTTGTTGGTGCTGGAACCTCCCAGTCTAGAGCCTATCTTCCATTGTGCTTGCACACAAACTTCTGCGTCACCCTGGCTCTCCCTCTTTTCTCCCCAGCTTCAGCAAGTTTTGCAAGAAAACCACAACACAGGCCCCAAGGCACTGAATAAGTGTAGCATGGCCAGGCCCAATTGGCGCTGGCAGCCTTCCTGGCTTAAGCAAAATCACGCGAAGTAGGCCAGCATGCTATCATCGCGGACGCGGCATGCAGCACAGCGCAAACGAAATGCGTCGACGTAGTGGTTGAATCTCATCTGGGTGACATGGAAAACTCGGGATGTCCTGCCATGCCGGCAAACTGGTCTGTGGGGCTCCGAGTAGATGCCAGATCCATCCAAAGCCATGACGTTCAATCCTCTCGTGCGCGAGTCGCTTAGTGAATGAGCATGCTGTCTAGTATCAGGGAAGGCGCAGCTGAGGAAAGAAACGTTAATGCTAACCTGACAAAAAAGAATGCCCTCCCCAGATCTTGTTTCTTCATTGTTGCTCTACGGAGGGGGGGAACCCAATTCCTGATGGTCACCCCTAGCCTATGCCCTGTCTAGGGATTCCTTTTTGGGGTTGCAATAATGAACGAAGGAGGATTCCTAGGATTTACAGATAGTGAAGGAGGCTCTGGGGCTAATCAGATCCCAAGGAACTTAGTCTAAGGTACTATAATAGTGGTTAGGGTTTGGGGATATTATCCCCCTATGGAGAATCAAATGGAAA